TCCCGGCTGCTTCAGCAGAGACTGATTCCAGCGCTAGTTGTGGCTGACGCGTCCTCCGAGTCGTGTTTTATGCAAATGCAGGTCTCTGAAACAAGGATCCAAGGGTAATGTTTGCAGAGGAGACGGCGCAGGCCTGACACCATCCTCTCTCTGCTTCCAGCTAATCTGTTCGATTAATCACATCTGCGACGGCACGGATACAAATGCTTCAATCACGACCTGAAAGCATGACGGATGAGTGAGCAAAGAGGTTCTGTTGCTGTCTTCTTCCCTCCTCTTCCAGTCTATTTCTTTCTTCTTTATCCTTTGTCCTGTTTTGTAGCTTTTTGCAAAGACTTTTTTGCTTTCAAATGTTTTTATTAAACTGAAAATATTTCATGTCTTTAAGTCTTTTTCTCTATTCACAATCTAAACAAATAAATATTTTAGAAGACCAAGGGGACAAAGGAATAAGAAATATATGCACCTGAATGCTGAAGAACTGAGACTCACTGAACCAGACTAAGTTTGTCCAGTCTGTTATTGGCTTATTTTGCTGAGACTGTGTGAACTGTAGCCTCAATTTCCTGAGCTAGCTGACAGGAGTGGAACACAGTGTATTTTTCTAATGCTGATTCGTCATGTTGGGCATTCAAAAAATGGTATTCGACATAACTTAGTTGTAGAAACTTGTTCTTTCGGAGTTATTGTTGGTTTTCTATAATCTGAAACCACTCTGCCAAATCTTTTTTGATCTCAAGACATTTTTGCAGACAAACTGTCACTCATTATATATATTTCAGCATGTATATTACATTCCCTGTAAACTCAAAAGATGGCCTTGTGTGGATATTCTAGTATATCATCAATTTCTGAAGTTATTACACCAACCAATCTGAAATCTAAATACAATTCGATATTAAAAGTCATGCAAATCTCCTTTTGTTCACATCCTGACGCTCAGTTTGAATTTCAGAAAGTCACATTCACTACATTTAGTTGGCTAAATGCACCTCATAAAACATAAGTTGAATGTAGATTTAGAGATATTCAACCCATAAGCTTTTCTCAGGACCTGGTTGGCAGTTGCATCAAAGTATTTATACTATTAAAGGCGGCTTTGCACCCAACGAGTTCAGGGTGTATCCAACCTTTTGGGGAATCGCTGCTGGAGATGAGCAACACTCTGAGCATAAACAGTTGAGAGATGAATAGACTGTTTTCTTTTGCTACAGAATGTGCAGAAATACATCATTTGTATGATTAAAATATAGACCTTGAAAGTGCATAAATTCATGTAATGACAAGACTTTTCATCCTTTGTTGCAAACCAGAATAAGACAGAAAAGCAAAGTGAGATTTTTCTAAAGCATTTATCTCCAGTGATTTACTCCTTCCATCTGTTCTCCCATGGACTGTTTATGGTCCTTTCTATGTTAATGGAGATATTTTACAATGGCTCACGTGATCCACCCTTTGTTTTTTTTGTTTTTTTTCTGGCATTAACAGAGCGTCTGTGTCCGCTTAGGAGTGCATGCACGCTCCTTCTTCCTCTCTTATTGTTCTTCACTGCCTCTTTTCATTCTTTTCTTCTCCTCCACCTCCTCCTTCTCTCTCGACAGTTCTTCTCATTGCGCCTCCACCTCACGTCCCTCCACCCTCCACATTAATCACATGGCAGGGAGAATAAAGCGGAGCATCTGTAATAGTTTCGCAGCGTCACTGAAGGACGGGCAGAGGTCGACTAGCGTCGCGGCTAATGCGTAGACTCCCTGTGTAGGTGTGTGTGTGTGTATTAACGGTAATAGATGACTTGGTGTGGACGCAAGGACAGAACGGGGACATTGCTTGCTAAAAATGGATCACTACCTTGTGGTGCAACATACATAAGTGTAAATGCACACATCTGCAGCTACACACAAACAATTGAATGCTAGTCATGCAAGCGCCACATACTGGGACAAGACATTCCCTTCTGATTTCACTTTAGTGATCTCTTTTGGCAATTTATTGGATATTTAGCCTCTTTTCTTCTTCTGGATGGTAGCGCCTGAGTCTAGCACAGGGGTGTTCAGCTGTCGTTTTTTATTGCTGGGTTGATTTGTTGTTGCTGCAGAGGTTTTGCGTCACTTAAGCTCCCTTGCTGCCAGCGGTTGTTTCCGATTTAGGCATCGGACCTGCTAGCGTGGTGATCATAAAATTCTTTTATCATTTTTCCAGTCCAAAAGGGAATGGTTAGATTAGATCTGCTGCTGGAAAGACTCCCCAAAATGACTCAAAGGGAAAAGAAAAAAAAAAAAAAAACAAGTTGCAAACATTCAGAGTCCAGACAAAAAAGATGACATTCAGACACCTGAGGGATTTTCTTTATGTCACTTTTAAGCTTGTTGTTTAAAGGCTGTTTGTGGTGTTTATTCTGGAGATAAAGCTTCCACAGACAGCCCACGTTGATGTTTGCTACAAACTCTCTGAAACAGATAAGGAAGTCGATACACCTGCTGTAATGAAAAGGCAGGGTGACAATGCAGATAACATTATCAGTATCTCATTGCCCTTGGGTGAAAATGTCCCGTGCATGGCGTCACCTTCAGTGCTTCTCATGTCAGTCAATCGAATCTATTCAAACACCTCAACTCACATCGTCACTCCCCTCGACTGGTGAGTGAAACACTTTGTGACTTCTAGCAGGACGACACAGCAGTGCTGTCTGCAGCCTGACCCGTGGTGAGCTCTTCATTCATTAATCCACTCCACAGCTCAACCTTTGCAAAGCTTTCGGCCACTTGTGCAAAGCAAGAGCATACAGAGATAGAAAAAAAACACACACAAAAAAAAACGATGAGAAGTTCAGCAGATTCCTGTTATTACTGGACGACTTCACTAAAGAACTGTACATACCAGACAAAGTGTACACATCTCTGTTAAAACATCTTAGTGAAGTAAGAAAAAGTCTAAAAAAAAGACTTGCAACTGTTTCCACTTTCATTGCAACTATAATTCAAGGAAAAGATTTATCAGATGAAAAAATTTAAAAAGAAGAAAATCAAACTGCAGTGATCTTCTTACATACATTTCCACAGTTTAATACTTTCTTGAGGCACTTTTTGATTCAGTTTCAACATGCAGTCTTCTGAAGCTTCATTCAGTTATGGGGAAACTGTCCTTGTAAGACTTTCCTGATATTTGCACACTTTTATTCTTTACCTAAAAGCCATAGTTTGGAGAGAAGGATCAAAGATATCTCAATGTACAAAGGTATCAGTCAGGAGAAAAGTACTGTTTTAATTTTCTCCCACCAGATTTGACTGCTTTCCCTTCAGAAACTGGTGAGCTGAAACATCTAGTGTGATAAAAAGCAAGAACAAAATACATTTGTAAATGGTAAAATACTTTTCTACAGTACTACATGTTTCAGTTTATCTAACAAAGTTTAATATCAGATAAAAATAAACTGAGTAAAAGCAAAGAGTGGTTTTCAAATGGTGCTCTCATTTCTTACCTTCTGTTTGAGAGCAGAAATGTGATATTATTTTACACAGGATGACACACACCTGCCAGACCATCTTCTTTTTGGCAGATGTCCTCATTTGTCTCATCAGTCCACATGTTTCCCTAACGATCATCAAGATGTTTTTGGCAAATATGAGACAAGCTTGTGTGGAGTTGTGAAATAATCACATTTTTGGACAGTTTCCAATGCCTATGCTTCACCTATTCCAATCTCATTCCTCACTGTAAAAGCCTGACAGCTTCTACACATGGAGTCCTTGCATCCTCCTCCCATTGCACCTCTAATTAGCCTCGTTTTTCAACAATAGTTAGGTTCAGGTTTGTCCTGCTTACTTTGAAACCCATTTTAAACACCAGCCAAATATCATAACTTTTCCATCTCCCCTTGGCCATCAGTGGGTTTTGCCTTGGAGCAACTCTCATAGAGGCCATTTTTGACCATAATGTTTGGTAATGTTGCATTTTGAATGATGAACTGAACTTCATGTGCCATTCTGGGTCATTTTGTGACTTTCTGGATGAGTTGTTTATGTGCTCCTGAAGTAAGTTTGACTAACCACCACTTATGTGGTTTTCAGCACATCCATGTTCTTATACATGGGTTGGTAACCCTTTCCTCACTGCAATATATCAACCCTTCTTTGATTTTTGTATTTATTTGACACCATCCAGCCTATTTCTTGTTGTCAAACAGATTCTATTAAGATGTGTTTTTTTTATTCTACAGGTGTGATAGGAATTACACTTTGGTTTATTTAGTGAAATCAAGGTTAGTTCATGATTTAACAAGACAGGCAATTAAATTTTCACATAACGCAGGTTGATCTCGATTCCTTTTTCCCTTAATAATTGATATCTTCATTTAAAACTAGATTTTACTGAATTGATCTTAGTTACTAAACTCTGTCTGGTGATCTAAAACTTGTAAGGGGGCAAATAAATTTCCCAGTCATAAAAAAATGAGTTAAAGGAGAGCTTGCTGCTTTGTCTGATCAGCTAATTCTTGTTTCCTAATGTCAACAAACAATATGATTTTGACATTTTCCAACACTGTAAAACAAAATAACTTCACATAAATTTAGGAACAGAACTTTGTACAGTTTAATCATATGCAAAGTGCAAAACAAACTGCAAAACGATGCAAAACAAAGAAAGTGAAAGTCAGTGGCACATAGCAGCGACGTCAAACTGAGGATGATGTGGCAGCATCAAAGTTCAGCTTCAATCTAATAACAATGTGAATTCACAATGGTCAGCTACAATGTCTGCTATAAACACAAATGGCCTTATGATCTTGAAAGCGCCTGAACACTTCATGGACATTTTCTGGTGTGCTTGAGCTGAGACAAGATGCATAATTGGGCATTGATAAACTAAAGATAATAGAGCCTTATCTACTGTAAAGCAGACATGTTATTGATGTATCTTTCTCTTGTTGAAAATTTCTCTGCCGTGTCCCTGAACTCATAAAGAGCTCTCAACTGTGATGTTTTTTCTCTGGTTCCTAACAGCCTGAGTCTTGGCCTGTGTTGCAGGAGGAGGACCCGGGCGACGGGCGCTTCAGCTTCCCCGGGTACGGCATGGGTCCTGCCTGCCTGCAGGCCAAGGATGGCATGGCCATCAAGGGCAACAACAACAACGCCCCGACCTCGGCGCCGCCCGAGAAGAGCATTGAGGAGATGAAGAAGCTGTTCATCAGCCGGGCCAAGCGCATTGACACAGTGTCCCGCGTGGCCTTCCCGCTCGTCTTCCTCATTTTTAACATTTTCTACTGGATCATTTACAAGATCATCCGCAGCGAGGACATCCATAAGCAGTAGCCGAACGGAGGAAATGGGCGACAGTGACGTGAAGCAAAGAAAGCAGCAAAACAAAGTAAAAATATGAGACAAAGATGACTCCAAAGCAGATATTATTGCCCCTCTTTTCCAGCCATACCTCTTATCCTCTTCTTTCACCCTCTTTCTCTTTGGTCAAAGATTTGCTGCTTTTTGTGGCCCCTCCTTTGAGCCCCATTTGACCAAACCGTTTGAAGCTTTTTATTGCTTTTTCCTACCTTTCTTGCCCTCCTCCTGAACCCCAGACCCTTTGTCCTGTCTCTTTAAAACCCCTTAACAGTCCGGACCAGTGCAATAGCAATGCAGTAAAATGCATGATATATGAATGTGGCAATATACTGAAGAAGAAACGTGAAAAAAATAAACCTAAACTTTCCAAGACACACCCAGGAAACCGTTTGGGAGTGAACGGACTGGAACAAAAGGAGACAAAAAGATCTTGTATTTAATTTTAGCTTTTTTGTGAAGACAGAAATATAATTCTATACGGAAATATGACGTAGGGATGGATGGGGTGGGAAAGGTGCAAGAGGCATACAGCAGTGTAATATACTTATTTATCATAATTGGAAGATATATGGACCATGTCTCCAAGGGTGGACATCTGGAACAAAGGATGTTTAACCCCAAAAAAGAAAAGAAAGATGGCGGTTCAGTGCTTCCACTAAATTAATTGATGCAAGGATCATGCATTCTATATATCTAGATTTGCTTCAAACATGTATTGCAAGCACTTGTCAGAGCTTTCCCTCCCTCCTGCTGCCAACACCACAAAAACTGCAGAGACACTTGAAGTTTGTCGTTGCTGCTGGACTAAGAAAATAAAACGAATACAAGATACTAAAAAAAATAACGGACACCCAGAGCTGATTAATACCTGTGATCAACATCTATCAGTTCTTAAATACTGTCACTCTGCATCTTTGTGGTTTTTTTGTTTCGTTGTTGTTTTATTTTCTTTCGTTCTTTTTTTTTTACTATAAATACTAATTAATATATGTGCCAACTAAACTTGTCACTTGTGGCTGTGCGACGCTCGTCATCTCTGACTTGTTCATCTGGAGGGAGGGCGAGCAGTTTGATGTCTTTTGTTTTGATCACTGAGATTTCAGTTCAACACCATTAGCCGAAGAAAGACCAGCTCGATCCTTGACCGGAGTAAAAAAACGCAGATTCTGATTCATTTTCCTTTGCTGTTATTGGTTGGGACTGAAACATTCACATGTTTACATCTTTGTGCTTCCTTGCTTCAACCCTGCCTCAATGTGACGCCAAAATCCCCACCCATCCTGATCCTGAGCAAGAGGACAAACGTCTTAACTCATACATAAAACATCGAACTTTACGAGCATCTCATCCACATGGACCAACTGTAGCTGTGAACTTCATGGAACTGCATCATCACACACAGAGTGCAACACCTGGATTTATTTCACCACACTGGATGGGATTTGATCAGTCAGGCTGGTTGAAGTGATCGATTGATAATTTTGCTTTGCACCAGGCTTCTCTATGCAATGATCAGTATATGCAATTTTAATTTTTACTTCTTCACTGCTCTTCCATCTCAAGTGGTTACACTTTAACGATTAGAGGTGAGAATGCCAATGTACTGACCTCTTTAAGGCACTTTTGGCCCCAAAGCATGCAGATGCCTGCATGAAAAACTGGTCTGTAAAAAGAAATAGACTGAGCTAAATCTGACTAGATATTAAGATTTTCCCCATGTTTAATGCACAAAAGATTATTACGTCTGCATATTCTACGCAGAGTATCCTTAAGTGCTTTTATGCTTTGAAAATGTTTAAAAATGCTACAATTCTGGGAAATTACCAGGTTTTTTAGCAAAGAAAAATCTAAAATGTACCTGAGAGATGTAGTTACTGTTGTAACATTATTTAAGAAAGATATTTATTTATTCTAATGACATAAAATGTCTTTTAGCACCTAGAAAAACAAATAAAAGGCTCAAAGATGTATGAATTGAGGAAAATCACTGGCTTAGCATCATTAGCCAGGAGCCGTATTGTATCTCTAGTTTTGTTGCCAGGTTTTATTCATGAAAGTAAGACCGATCACTCATTGTTATCATGCTCTAAGAATGATACATCGACACACATACATTATATTTTTAGAACCAGGTTCAGATACTTATTTTCTGTATGGAACTGAAAAAAACATGGTGCCCTGGGAATATTAGAGCCTTTTGTAATGTTCCTGTTATGTGCCATATACATTTGAAGAATATAAGGTTCACTTCATGGCCAGCCACATTATATTTATAGCTTTTGCAGTTTTTACTTGTAGAACACATTTTCTGAATATCCTAAAATAGATCTGATGGTACAGGTTATCTGTCATATCCAAAATCTGTTTTATCCCATCATGAATATGTCCCAGGCTTTGTGAATGAAGGTATGCGAAACTGATCTGAAGGGCTATGCCACTCATTGACTCCTTCATTCTGATTCTAGATTTTAAAATAAAAAGTGCCATAAAAACACACATCACCCCAAAATACTATGCATTTCATCCAAAATACATTTTTCTAAAACTTGTTCGCCTGGACCTCTTTGAGTCTTGGTCTAAAGTCTAAAGTTTGTGTAGGTCGTCCATGTTTCATTGATAACTAAAGGCCAGGTTGCAGGGACAAGACATCAAGCAGAGACACCCAGACCCGTCTCTTCCCTGCTACCTCCTTCAGCTCACCTGGGGGAAGCGCAGAGTCGAGAAAATCCTTCGCCAACCCAAACCCTAATTCATTCTGACACCAAAACCGTCTTGATTAGTTTTAATGCTGAGAAGTAATTAGTTTTCAGGTTGGCTCCTCAATTAAAGCCAAAAACACTTATGGTTCAGGTCTGACCTACGCTGATATGACATAGGTACGTAGAAAAGAAAGTTATTTGTCAGGTGGCACATTTTCTACTGCTTATTGTGATAAACAGCCAATAGAGACTGGAGATTTGCTGGAGATTGTAAGAAAATATGGCTATACAACCTGGCTCTCTTGAACTGAGATTCTTTAAAACAGTTTGAGGGTTGTGAAACTTCTGTGCCAAATAATGAAAAGGACCAGCTTTAACTGTTTCTTGACTCAATTTGTTTACAACTAAAACAAGAGTGCAGAGGGGTTGTTGCTAACTAAATAATTTTGAAGCCTTTAATAAAATAGTCCATCCGAAACCAAAATAATGTACCAATATTGCTTAATTTCTGCAAACTCAATTGAGTTTTGTGATTTTACGTCTAGAAAATTCAGTAGCAAAGAAAAGTACACACAGTTTGTAAGCATTCCAGCTATGTTTGAAATCACCAGAGGTTTTTAAGGCCTTTTGGTAAAAACAGTTAGCATTCAAAGGAAGACCTGGTTTAAGTCAAGAACTTTGCAACATTCCTTCCTTTTGACCAAACGTGATGATGACGGTGATGATGGTTTGACAACATCAAGTTACCAACAATCAAAACTTCCTCTGCAGTCACAGTAGTGATGTTTTATGCAGGCTTAAAATTCACATCAAACCTCAACAACCAGAATTTGTCACTAATAAACTGAAATGCTTAATGAGTGAGGGGAAACAGTAAATGTCAAATAAATCCTGGAAGGTTCATTTTAATATTATAAAGTCCCAAAACACATACATTTTTTATGCTTCCTTGGATATTTTTCAACATGTAGCCTATTTGCAAATAGTTTTGCAGATGAAAGTTTAAAAACATATTGTGGGACTCTCAGAGAATCATGAAATGATTTAATCTGTCTAATCAAAGTGGCAGCTGTAAGATAAACAGTTTAGCTTTAACATATTATAAAAAAATATGAATTCATTATTCAAAAGACAGAAAGTTTAATCTTGTGCTAATCTGGGACTATGGAAATGAATTCTTTATCTCTGCGTGTATTAATGCCTTTCTGAATAAAACTGAAACCAGAATAAGAAACCGGAGAAACGGGCTCCGTCTCATTAGAAACTAATTTTTTCTTCTGTGCCATAAACACACCAACTTGAATCACTTGTGTTCATGAGCCAGCATCCGTTTTCCTGGAGCACACACATGCATCTTCTTGTGCCATATCGGGGTTGAATATGCAACCAAAAAACAAGACAAAGAAAATGAACCCACAAGCATATCATGAGTTTTTCAATCACTTTACATGATTCATGAGCCTTTCCTCTGGCATTGCTCCTCTGTGTATCATAACTTCATCATCAGCCTCATATTATTGTATTAGTCATTGATTATAATGTAAAGGTTGGAGTTGCAAATAGTATAATATGTAAAAAAAATATTGGGTTTATATTGCATCATTGGAAAAGAATAAGAAAGATAAGTTTATCAAGAACAATAAGTTTATCAAACTTTCATTTCTAGGCCAGATTTTAAAGAAGCACGGTTTAATATTTTGATGGTTATTGATTTCGAGGGTTTTTTTTTTTTTTCTTTTTTTTTTGTTGTTTTTTACAATTTTACGCCCCGAAGGAAAAGGAAAAATACAGTGAAACCTGAATTGCTGTGAATTAATGGAATTACTATTATTCATTTATTGATCTTCTTTGCAAAAGTTGGAATGGCCTTAATTTTGCTTTACCTGCTTCTATTGTGTCTGGCACAAAGTGCAGCTCTTTTTAATTTGCTAAATTTCTGATGCTAATTATGGCGCTTATATAAACTGAGAGTGCACATCAAAGCAAGGTGAAAAAGTTCTGCGAATTCTGTTTATTTTTCATTAATCTGAGAAACTATATTTTGCATGAATATAAATAAAAATGGCAGATATTTTGGCTTGTACAAAAAATGTGAAGCAATTTGAAGATGAAAAAAAGAATGTACTGTTTCTGCTGTATCTGTATATATCTGAATATTTATTAAAAAAATGTCATACTACTAATTCTATTAACGATTAAAGGTTTTCTGGACAAAAATCTCTTTACCTGTTTTTGAACATTGTCAAGATTGTTGGAGTTGGATCTTCTGCTTTCTGTTACTCGACTCAAGGATCTGTGTAATCATTAAAGAAAAAAGTATTAAAAATCGCAAATAAACGTTTCCTGTCAGGTGTTTTTATTCTTTAAGCAGAGTGAGACTCTGAGCTTCTGCTCAAACTAATGTAAAATAACCCTGTCTGATATTAATATTTAATGTTTTCTATTTAAAATTTGAAACAAGCAGTAGGCAAATAGTATCACAGCTCTTAAGCTGTTTAACATTTTGTCAAATTACAACCACAAACTTTAATGTATTTTATAAATCATAACACGCAAGTAGTTCATAACTTTAGAATAAAATTTTGGTTTTCTAAATTGCTACTTACCTTGCCATGAAGCCGATTTAACATTTGTCACAAACCATTCAGCACAAAGTTCCTCTAGTTGGATGTGACCAAACCTGAACATTTGTTGGCCTCCATGCGTAACACGGCCTGCTGTGCTCGCTTCAGAGAAAGAAAATAAATGGCGCTGAATGCGTGGAAATGAATGAAGAAATCTTTTTGAAGGTCAGTAAGAGACTTGAGACTTAAGCAGACAAACATATTCTAAACATGCAACGTTGATATGGAGAAACTGTAGCAAAAGAGCGACAAAGATTTCTAAGTCCAGCGCAGGAAACAACACAGTGCAACAGGCACATCACAGAGCTCAATTTGGTCTCTTCTTCAAGTGCTTGTTTTAAACGTGATGCTTTCAGTCAGACTGATTAAAAGCTGAAAACAAGAAATCAGTGAAGACAGTTGATCAGAAAGCAGAACCTGCGCGTCGCAGTGGGTTTGTCGGGACTCTGCCATCACCAGGACAGATGAGTACTTCAGCTCCCTCCGACTCCAACTGGTTTCCTGCAGAAAATCAATGCTAATCATTTAGATGGAGGCTCTTCTAATACATCTGAGGAGCCTCTTGAAAGTCAGTGCACTCGACTAAGAAATGAAACTCTCTGTAATTCCTGTCTGTTTTCCAGAGTAAGCATCAAAACGCCCAGCTGATTGTGTTTGCGGTCCCGATAATTAGATGTCCTCTAAAAGGAGGAGCAGGAACCGAGAGCAGAACGACCAGATGTACAAGCAGAGTGAAAACATTGTTAAATTATCCTACTTCAATTACAATAACTTTGAATTTCCAAACGCATGTCTGTATAAAAATGTTTAAAATCCCAGATCCGAGTTTGCAATACGTACTTCAGCTGAGCTGCAGTACCTTTAAGACGACAGTAGGCGTCACTGTTGGACAGAATAATTTTGTGAGGTTTTCTGTGAAAGTCTGCAGCTTTACACAGAAACATAAAAATGGATCCAGATGTTCACATACCTGAGCACCTTCCCACCTGGGCACCTTCCCTTTTCATTTGCGTCTTTTGAAATAAAACCAGTTCATAGCCGTCTCATGCAGCTACATACCAAGAAGAAATAATTTACAAATTCTTTAGATTCGCAATATGTTGAAATGTATTTTATTTTAGATGGTTATGGTTTACAGCTGATGAAAACCATAAACAGATATTTGTCCCCCGATTACTTTTCATAGGAGAACTTGGGACAAAAATCTGCATAAAATAATCTTGCTGTGTGAACTAGGTATACATAGATTTTAGGCAGATAAAAACCAGACCAGGTTAAAACAGTAAATTGCTTTTAATTTAGTTCTCTCATCGGCATGTGAGCTTATTTTTCAGATGACAAATGAAGTGCATCGGTAGTACAAGTCTGACAGGTTTTGATACATGCTCCATTCAGACAACATTACTAAAATAAAACTACAACATTTCAGCTCTTTGACCTGATAGAATAAAAAGACAGATCCATCGCTAGATACAACGGTGGCAGCAATACACAGGATTGCCCAAGCAGTAAAAGTACACGTTCCTTTAAGAAACAGGGAGAGAGAACGCGAAACATCTGGGTTTACAAATCCCCAATTCAAGTAGTATTTACCCTTTTTCATGTGTTTGTGTGTTCTGATTTGACAAATTCAAGTTTAGCAATGAAAAATGGCAAAAAAAAAAGTTGACTAAAAGTCCAGGTAAAAACACGTGAAAGCAATAAAAACCATCCAGGGCTGATCCAACTGCAGAGCTGGTTACGTCTCCTGCACAAACCGATGTCTGGATTCAGGAGGGGGCGCCATCAGAATGAGAGGAAACAGCTGTTCACCGGAGGAGCGACTCAGCTTCAGGAGAAAATGCAGACAGCAGTTATGGTGGATTCATTCTGTTTTCTCTAGACGATCAGACCAAAAAAAAAAAAAAAAATTCGAAGAGTTTTTTTTTTTGGTGGGGGTTAAAAGTTGAGACGGCGAACTTGCAAAGCATTCAGAACTCTTTGTGTGGGAATGCTAAAAACAGTCTGCATCAGCACTCCTGTCTCTTTAAATGAGTCTCAGCATCCAACAGTTTTCCCCCTGAACAGTAAAGATGAGTCCCTGGAGCGTGGAAAGGTGGGACTCTGCTGTGGGACAGGCGGTGGGATGGGGAGCGGCTTTGGAACAAACAGACGGATGACTCTGCCGCCTGAATTCAGCAGATGTGACTTGATGTTTAAAAGTTTGACCAAAAACTTGAGCCGAAAACATTTAGGAGACAGAAAAATGCAGAAATGAATCAGAAGTCAGGCAACGCATGAGCAGCAACCCAAATTCTTGACTCCAAATCTATAATTCCTGCCGATGTTCCCTCCTGGATGTAAAGGGAGGTTGTCTTTTTTTTTTTTTTTTTTTTTAAATTAATTTAGCTTTTTCCAATCAGTTCCTGTTGCAGAAAACTCAAAAACCAGTAAAGACTGACTCCAGATGGATGATCTAACTCCGGGTGGTTTTACTGACGAGGTGCAGAGTAGCGCCCCTCTGCGTTCCCGGCGCCCCGTCCAGAACCAAAGCTGGGTTTCTGTGACATGCCGCCGCGAGTCGGGGGTCCCCTCGGTCCCCCGCCGCCTCCAATGCGCTCTCTGGGGCCGCCGGGGCCCCCTGGACCACGGGGCCTCATGTCTCGCCTGTCGCCCTCTCTGGCCGACCGGGTTTTCTTCTCCTCCACGTTTAGGCGGACATCGCCTCTGAACTTGATGGGCTGATGGAGACAACAAATGAGATTATAATCCAGGTAGAACAAAGCTCAGCCTCCCCTCAGACTAAAAGCTGCCTTTCTTACTTTGTTGCTGAGGATTTTCTGTACAGGTTCAGAATCGTCAAACACCACAAAGCCGAAGTTTGGGAGCTTCCCTCCGCTGTTGATCCGCAGCTCCAGGACATTCCCGTACTCTGGGGGTAGAAATGTCACATTTTTCCATGAATAAAATCATTTTTAATGCAATTCAGCTGTTTAGGCTTCTGACGAATACAACCAGACCCTTTCCAAGCCAGTGCCTTACTGAGAAGCTTTGAAACTACTGTCCTCTAGAGCCAAAACAATCAGATTAATCGATAAAAAAAAAAACGTGTTTATTAATCGATTAAGGAAATGCTATGTTGCATTTTAGGCAATGAAATTCAACATGTTTATTTTCTTATTGTAACTTATAGATCTTTTATTAAAAAAAATCCACAGAACGCGCCACTTTTTTATTTATCCAATTCATTTCCAGAATAATCGATTAATCAAGAACTAAAATAATATTTAGTTGCAGCCTTTCTATGCTCTTGCTAAACTGTTAGTTCTATTAAAGCTGCTGTTGACGTTTTGCTCCAACTTACGTTCGAAGAACTCCTTCAGTTCCGTCTTATCCACGTCATGCGGAACGTTTCCCACGAAGAGCTGGTGGGCGTCTGGGTACCGGACCATCCTGCGGCCCTCCACCTCACCCTGCTCACCTTCACGAACTGAAACACAAACAGGAAACGGCTTACTAAAATATACAAACGAGATCTCAAACCAGCTGCGTTTCCTTTCAGAACGTGAATCTGAAGTGCTGTGTGGCATTAGGCCGGCTGTACCTGGCCTCGGCCCCCTGTTGGGGGGTGGAGGGCCGCCGGGCCGCTGCTCTCTGGGCCTCTGGTCCCTCTGTGGTCTCTGTGCTGTCTGGGTCTCTGGCTTTCCTTCCACTCTTGGCTGCAACAGAACAGGTTTTTATTAGACCAGGAAGCCATCTGATGTTTGGATTTAGGAAAGAAATGAATCATTACTTGAATGTGCTTCAAATTAGTTTTAGGCTAATAAACATGCAAGTAAAAACAATTGTAAAGTTGGCAAAATAAAGGGTCCAGAGGGAGCTGTGACAGCCGCTCTGGGGAGAAAGGAATATTCTGCTGATCACAAATCTGTGACTTTTTATGAGGCACATTTACCAGAACAGAACAATTTGAAGACC